AGTTTTTTCCCTTCTCTTTTTCTCTATTTACTTCATTTGGATCGACCAAATTTTGATGTTACATGATGCTTTTTTACTGTGTTCATGATTGCTCTTTTTGAGTTTAGTTTAAGAATTTATGTTCTTGATTAATGGGGGTATGAACTAAATTTCTTCACTATGAACATCTTGAGTTCATAGATTTCTCCATATTTTCCTTTGTTTTTTGCTATAGTCTAAATCTAAGTTTTTTCGGTTAGTCATAAACATGAGTTGTTTTTGGATTTGATTTGTGGAAAATTTGGCACATAAACTTGGGGTTTTTGATGAGATTTTCCTCCCTGGAAAGTATAATATCTTTATTAGTATCATGTTTAAATTTTAGTACAAACCCAAAAATCTTATCTAGAGACAAAGCATTTAGCATCAAAGATGAATGGATGGAGAAAAGGAGTTGAGTTGAGTCTAATAGTTTTCCCTTAATTATTATTAATTAAGCTTTTTAATTGTAGGTTGTTTGTTTAGTTTCAATTTAATTAGAGTTAAACATAATTCATGATTTAATTTTTTTTAAATTAATTGCTTTAATTTGTGAATCAATAAGGGCCCACTACTTTTCATTAATTCTTAAAATACAAAAATACTAACATGGATGCCATGTACCAAGTAAAAATTGCCACATAACTTTTTGAATTTCCATCTCATTTTCACGCAATATTGAAAATTTTAAAAAAGAAAATGAATTTTTGATGGAAAACTTGGCCATGTCATTACTTAATTGATGGAAGGACCAAATTGATATAAAAAATTGAAATTTAAGGACAATTTTAGTATTTTTTTTAAAGTTTAGGGATAAATTTGATACAAATCAAGAAGTTGAGCAACCAAATCGGTATTTTAACTTTTTTTAAGTACAAAAATACTGAAAAATGTATATATAACATAATTATAAAAAATTTAAAAATTGATTTATCAAATCTCAAATCTTAATGGTAAAAGATCCACTCTAACAGCAATAGCTTCTAGTGAAAGCTAGAGGTAACTTGCAAAATAAAAAATCAGAGGACTTTTTCAGTGTTGTTAAAAATTCCCTTTTACATTATCAAGAGGAGAATATAGGCATTGGTTGGTGGATCTTCAAATTATTCTTTTTTTTCCTTTTAGCTTCCAATAGAAACCAGGTGTGAGCTTTGAAAGTGAAGGGAAATGAAATCTACTCAAACAGATCAAATGAAATGTCCGAACAAAACCTCATTGGTTCAGCAACCAAATCCTTACCCCTTTTTTTTTCATATTTACAATCAAGTGTCTTTACTTCCGTATAACTAAAATTAATTCTTTCATAAACAATCTTAAAAATACATTCCTATATCAATTTAGTATATTTAAAAAACTCGTAATGCCTGGTTCAGTTTTTCTTTATTTTGGTAGAAGTAGGAGATCCAATTTCCTACCTTGTTGAGATTTGTAGAATCCTTTTTTTAGCCATCCATAGACATAGAGAATCTTTTTTTTTTTTTTTTTCCTTTTTAGTCAGCCATAGACATAGAGAATCTGATCAAAGAATAACGTATGGTATCCCAGAGCATCCATATTTTTTTTTTCCCAATTTTTGATTTGAAATTTTATATTAATTTATTGTCTTTGAGATTACTCTGTTGCCTTTTCCATATCAATAGAATCAAAGAAAAAGATTTTTTCGCTCTTTTCCTATTCTATCAAATCTACAGTTTTTGATGGCCAAAAAAATGTATATATACAGTTTTGATTTCTGACCATGATGAAACAAAAAATAAGAAAAACTAATAAAACAAGCAAATTCTAATAAGAATAGTGTTAAGTAGTTGGACCATAAAAAATTAAAAATGCATATCAAAACTAATTTATTTCAAAAAAATCATTAAAAAATAAAAATAGTTTTATTTTTATTTTAAAATTATATGTTATTTTATTTTTTTAAATGAGATAAATTTATTAAAATAATTTAGTTTTGGAGCCTTTTTTTTTTGTTTAATTTTGTATAGATTCGAGCAATAAACATTTATTCTCAATTATAATTCATGAACTAATCATATTTACCTTTTCTCATCCATGATAGATAATTAGGTCTAACCAAATATTTTACCGAGAAAAAAAAAAGTGACAGAGCCAGCGAATCTGTCTTGCCAATCAAGTTAATCTCTCAACATACTCCATCCTAGTATAATATATAGAATCACATTAAAAAATACTTCAATGAACGGTCAATAAAAAATTTCAAAAGATCCTTAATTCAAACCATTCATAAAATAAGTAGATAGTTAAACAACCAAAAGACAATAAGCTTTAATATTATTATGACCCAAAATCACAAAAGGGAAAAAAAAGTCCCACCCAATATATTTTTTTAATTAAACTATTTGGTATGTGTGAGTCATATTAAGTTTTAATTAATTTAGAG